GTTTTGAAATGTCTATATTTAAATAATTTATAATTATTAAACCTATATTTTACTCCAGCACATGTCATTTAAAAATCTTTTTCGGGACCCATTGGGACATCTATTGTTGTATGGCTTAAAGAAAACCCGAAGGCGGTTTTGTCAAGATTGAAAAAAAAACGATCTAAGACTGACATCCAAAGTGTGTAAATGAAATTTAATAAAAATAAAACTATAGAATTAATAAGGAAATAATTACATAAAGCCATAACCGCATGCAACAAACAGTATTTGTCTAAAAGAAAATTTAGTGAAGAATCTAAGAAAAGAACTAAAACTTTTATAGACATAATTAAATTATTACAACTAAGGAAGAAGAATAAGAAATAAGATATTTAACACTATCTTAATATTAAATGAAAGAAACGTAGGGAACGGTGGACGAAGTGGAAAAAATACCAAAAAATTCAGTAAAATACGATGTGCTATGTTGTATTAAAAGATCTATGGATGGGTTTACAAAAATATTCTCTCCTAAAAATCAACCTAATATATATAGCTTAAATTCTTCAAAGACACAAAATGTCTATAAAGACACGATTAATATAAATAAGACTCTTTTAAAATGGAAAAGAAAAGTATTAATAAGAAAACAAAGCTACACAAAAACAGATTAAAGCTTATATAGAAATACGAAAAAAAAGAAGAAATAACGTAATAAGAGAAAATAGAATTAAACGAATCTTAAAAAAAATTACTAGGCTCTTTCAAAAAAATCAGATGTTTCAGAGCTGATAAGTAAATAATCGGACAAAATCTTATTCAATGAAAAAGGATTATCAAGTCATAAAAAGAAAATTCAGGTAGAAAAGAAAGTTGAAAATATGAACTTTACAGAGGAAATTTTTATAGAGCCTGTAATAACCCTTATTACTTTAACTTATTTTCATAACTGTTTCACTTCAAAACGTTTTAATCTAAAAAAGTTTTAGTAAACAACTATTTAAGGAGATTATATAAAATAAATGTACGTTCTAATAACTTTTATTTTAACAACCCTTCTGCCGGTCACCACAGAGTCCTAGAAAAAGAAAAGTCGAAAATTAATGATGAGTCGATAAACATATCAACTATAGAAGTTATTAAATCTTGGAGTAATATGTGAAAAAAGAAGATTAGTAGCAGAAGAAAAATCTATTTGTCTTGCCCCGAAGGGTAAATATCGAGTTAAAATAAATTTCAATAAATGATTTTATAATATTTAACTATGAATTTAATTTTATGATAGCTGTATTCTTTACAACTTGAAAGCAAATACAACTTCAATGAATACAATTGAACTTTGTTTTGTACAAATAACTAAAATTTTATTACAATGTTACTGCGTATAAAAAAAATATTTTTCAACATTTTAATAAAAGAAGGATTAAAAGTAAATAAATGTAGAGATTTAAACTTCATAATACATACTAGCTAATACTATCCCGTTTTAAACGGGATTATAGATGCGGTATACGCTCTTTTTTTCGATGTGCATGTTATGCTTTGGGCTTGTATGTATTATTCAAAAGTATAAAATGTCCTCTTTATCAATAATTACATTTTGCAATAGTTCCTTATTCTACGTTTTAAATAGTTGATAAAACTACAGGACAATACGCAAAAATATCGTGCTGTGTTTGATAAAAATAAATTTAATTTGTATACTTTTTTTTACAAAAAATACAAAGAATTTTACAAATTCAAAAAAAGAAGGGTTAAAAAATAAAAAAATGTTCAGATTTAAACTTTTTATATTTATTTTTTATACCCTTACAGCGGAATCTCTTAACAAAAAACAAATTAAGCGTATTTTATTTTAAAAGGGTTTTCTATAATAAGGAAGTAAAAGATTTTAAGTATTATATAGCATAAATAAGTAACTAAGATAAAAAGTTAATAAGCTAATAATTTTTTTTACTAATTAATATCATAAAAAACATTTTTTAATAAATTAATATAAAATTACACAAGAAACAAACACACTTCCATAATTACTTTCTCTGATTACTTGGAAATTAAGAATATCGTCTCGCTTTTCTATTAAGATAAATTTGTATCCTTTCAAATATCATGTTTTACTCATATTGTAAAAAAATGCAATTTTGATAACGTCTTCTTTCACTTTTGATTTATTGATTAATAAATAAAAACCATACCCACTTTGTTAAAATGTATTTTTAAGTGTATTGTGTTATCTTTCTACGACATTATTGGTGATCGCAAATTATATTTTATTATATAATGCGAATGTCAAATTTCAGGAAAAACCGACAGTAGAGTTAAAAATATGTCGAGTAAAATAGTTTTTAATTTCTTCTAAGCAAGATGGAAAATCTCCATATTCTTTAGCTGTAAAAACGACGGAATGATTCATCATAATCAACATACGCCTACGCACTCAATGCCAAAGCCAATTTTCTTAACTTTTTGCCACATTAATCATCGAAAACAGCTAAGCAGTTAATTCATTTATAAACAGCCTTTGAAGGATAACAAAAAAACATAAAATTTAAATTCGTTATCAATAACCTGTGAAAGATTAAACAAAATGAAATTTGATAATTTGTGAAGATTATTTGAAATGCAGAAATATAGCAGCATGTTCAAAAGACGCTTTACGATTTTGTGAATTTAACTTTAAAATTGAATATTGTAAAGTTGTAAACAACCTTATATAGGTCTGATAACTTTAATTTTTTATTATTACAAAAACAACAGTAAAAACATGACTATCTAGGATATAACTTATAGTATACAATTGAAAATATGCAAATAAAACAATGCTAAAAGTACTATCAATAGTCCAAAATCATTATGTAGCATTTTTTGTGCTGCCATTTTGAATAAAACAACAATAAATTATCATTATTTTAAAATTTTTAAAGATTTCAAGTCCGTATAATAGAAACGCACCCCATATGCGTATCTAATAAATTTGCACCCAGTCCGTGAAGTTTTATTTGCATATGGCATAGGATTAATATGCTTTATTCTTGCGTTACGCAAAATTCTAGTAATCTGATCAATCGAACCCAACTATATTACACCATTCGCTCCTAAATAATTAAAAAATAACATTTCTAAGTGCTTTGCACTTCAAATTATTTGTGCTTCTATTTTTTCATTCATCGGTTTACAAAAAGCTAACTAATATTAGAAAGATGCTTATGATTAGATGTAGCACTAAATGAATCAACATTGAGAACATGATTAAGACTTGAAATACTAAACACTGAACACGCTATGTTCTAACATAGCTATCTATCGGTTTCACGGTAAAACTCTTTTTTTTAAATTGTATTAATCATTGTCAATAATTTGATCCATTTCCTTTCTGTCTTTTCACAATAATTCTTATTGTAAAAGGACCTTTTATACAGGTACCGAATTTATCTATGTCACCAGTGACAGTAAATGAATGACCCAATAATTTGCCTTAAAGTAAAACATTATGATATGAAACCAAGTTTTGAAACAGAACAGGTTTTAGAGTTAATAAAAAATATAAAAAGAAGGTTAAATTAAATAAATAATGTTAAGTAAAAAGCTCAAGTCTTTATAAGTAACTCTCCTCTTTTAGGCAATTGGCGTTCTGTCCAGGGATGCGTCCTGTTCGGAAATAATATTCTAACGAACCGATACAAAATTTCACATCTTTACCGAGATTGTTTTGTTTGATGTTAGATAAAAAATTTTTATAAAATTATATTTTAAATGCCATCTTGTTTCCATAATTTTTCTTTTTATAGTTTTAGGCTTCAAAAGGAATCAATAATCAATGAGAAAGGTTGATATTTGTCCCCACCTTAAAACAACAAAAACTTACGTATGGGATTGATGCCACAGTAAATAAAGGTAGTAGTGAAATTTTTTATTAAGAAGTGCCGTGATACTTGCTTCTTTCAGTATTTTTATATGTGTTGTGATTTATGTCTTTTTTTTATTCATTTGTATCCTTTCTATTGTTTTAATTTTTATATTTTTATTTTTTGTAGAAAATTCATTTTTTCAAAAGAAACAATTTTTTTAATTAAATTAAAATATTGGAAAAAGTATTTATATATAAATAATATATAAGAGAGCAGTAAAATACTACAATTAAATATTCTAAATAAAGGCCTAAAATTGGCTTGTTACGAAATTAATATAAACACATATTCATGTGGAATAAATGGCTGTATACACTAAATTGTAAAGAATTGTGATGTTCTATATCATATTGCTGTACCTAGGCTGTAAAGTGCGATTGTTGATGAATGAAATATAAAAGGATCTATTCTAAAAGCTGTCATTAACTTTTAAAAATAATTTTTTATGTTTTTGTAAGATTTATATAATATGTATTTTAAACATTAATTTTTCAATCCGTATTGTTGTGCTTGAAAAAAATAAAGAAGAAACGTGTGATGCTACTTTTTTTTTAGAAACAGATGACATAGACCAGTTGGAACTAGGAAAATATAATCAAACAGATTTTAGTGTCCAAAAATTATCCCAAGATAATTTAGCTATTTTAAGTGATGGCTGGACAAAATTACGTAAAAAAATTTCTACTTTTGAATTTAATGGTTTCAAACGACTTCCTTTTTTTCCTCTTTCAATGAGTTAAGTTTTTTTGATATGCTATTTACTGAGTCGATTTTAAAGTATATTTTAAAACACACTAATAAAAAGATATAAAAAAAAATTCTTACTTATCAGCTACAAAAAGACCTAAAATTGTGACAATAAAGGAATTATATGGTTACATAGCAATCTTGCTATTACTTGGAATTAAAAAATATCCAAATTATGCATTCTGCTAGATTAAGACCAAAAAAAATTCTTATGATGCAAATATTGCTCAAATAATAAGCCATAAAAAGTTTCGGCAGATAATAAACATGTTACAATAATCGGTGAAAAAGATTTATTATTGATATCAAGATTAAAAGGAAGCCAAAAATTGTTCTATATTTAGAAAATTTTTTTAGAGTGTTACATACTCCAGGAGAGCGCATTGCAATAGATAAGGGAATGATGACATTTAAAGGCCGCAGAAAAAATATAATATATTCTCCAATGGAACAATGGGGTTTGGAATTTTATGTTATAGCCGAATCTACTACTGGATACGTCTATAACTAAGAATAGTTGATAAAAAAAATCTTTGGAAAATACTGTTTTGGATTATATGCTGGTTTGGAGTAAAATAGTAGAGTCCTATATATAGATAATTATTATAACTTGTTTAAACTTGCATAACTTCTTCTTTCTGATGGTATTTATGTATGGGGAACTTTGAGAAATAATAGAGGGGGCCCGAAAACTTAGAAACTGTTAAAAAAGAAAATTCGCAGAACCTAATATGGAACGACAAAAAACCTGTAGTGATACTTACTACAAAATTTAGTGTTGATGTTATTGTAGAAGTAAAATGAAAAGTTATATTAGATGTTATACACCAATATAACAAATATATGGGGGTGTAGACAAATCTGATCAAATGATTAAATATTACACAATGAAGAGAAAGACTAATAGGTGGATACAGCGATTCATCACACATATATTTGAAATTTTGATGCATAATTGTTAGATACTTTATAGAATAAATTTTAATAAGACAAAGCTTTAACTTAACGATTTTATTGAAAATACTATTTCATATTTATTAGTAAAAGCAGAAGTGATAGTAGAAGAAAATATTAAAGATGAACCATACAAGCATCATTTGCCTATTTATTTAGATAAACGACCCAATTTTAAATCATGTTACAAGAATGGAAAAATAGTGACTTATTTTACTAAAAGTGAAACGTGTGATATTTATTTATGCATAAAATCATGTTTTTACAAATATCATGTATCGTATAGAGTAGCAAAAGACAGCGGAGATTATAACTTTGAATCATTAACTGGAAGCTCTATTTAAGTAAATTTATTGTAATTTAAAATTCTTGTATTTTTGATATAATTTTTTATTTTACATTGGTTAATTTTTTTTAAATTTAACATCCATAAAACCAAACAAATATTTAAGGTTAAATTATGTTAAAGTTTTACAAAAAAAAATATTTTTTCAGACCCTTATCTTTCAGTATTTTTACAAAAAAAAATTAGTTTTCAGAATCCTTATTTTTCAGCGCTTTTTTGTAAATTTTCTTTGGCAAAATATTTTTAAGGGTTAAAAAGGATATATTTATTTAATAAAACTTTCTTAAATACTTTTTTATATTAGTGTGAAAGCCTACTTGTTGTAGAGAAAATCAATAACATTGATCTGAGTTGTTACAATCATTTGATTGTAAAGGGTTGGTCATTGGCTTGGAGCATGGCACACTTATTTATCAGTAAGTGCATGCTTGTCGATTGGTTTAACATCTTTTTGTCGTTCGCTCTTTTACATAAAACACCTTCTCTAGATGTAAAACTTCCTCGGGGTTTCCACAGTTAAGATTTCCAGATTTATATTAAGTTTTAGAATGAATGTATGCTTTAGTAAAATAGTACTATAATGTTTATTTTTCTTTATTAATTGAAAGGTTGTACAAATGTAAGTTTTGTTTTAGAATAAAAAAAAACTCGAATAAATTAATTATTTATAAAATACATTAGTTAGATTCACTAGATTCATATTTTTTATCAATACTATCCATAATGTCTTTTAAAGGGGAAATTAACCATTTAATATCTGTAGACAAATATGTCACAGAATTAAAAAACATTTTTAAATTACGATTTATCTTACCTAAAAAATCCTGAGATCGCTCTAATCTCCCAATTAGCATTTTTATAATTGCAAAAATAGATTCCATTTGTACAGCTTGTGAAATATTTGTATGTTTTTGTGTGATAACTTCACATTCATTATAAATAAATTTTAAATTTCCCTTTGTAAGATAAAAAGTCAAATTAAAAGACATAAAATACTTTACCACTTCTTTTATAAACATATTGCATTCTACTATTAATTCTTTTATAGACTCACACGAAGATTCTTTAAAAAAAAAACTGTTTTCAATATTTCTTATTTGAATTTCAATACTTTTGTTTAAGCTTTTTTTTCGCCAACAGTAAAGTTTTTTGGTTTCTATTAACTTAGATATAAATTCTTTGTCTATTTTTCCAAAAAAGATAACTTTTTTTGAAATCGAAATTTTCTCATTTTTGGCTTTGTTAAATGAAAATTTTAATCGAATTAGAGCCTCTCTATAAAAATCCAAAAATAAATCTAAATTTGTCGACTGTTGATTATTAAATTGTACTTTTTCATTTTGAAATGCAGAATTGTAATTTAAATTTTTTTTATAAATCAGATATCTATTAAATTGTTTAGCATAATAATCATTAAGCTTATTCATCAAATCTTTTTTATCTTTATGTATTATAATCTCTCGATATTTTATATTATCACTTTGATCATTTATCGCCTTATCAGAGTTTAATACTCCATCATATTGTTTTAGGGGTTTAAAATGATTAGATGTACTACTATAGTATATATTTGGACTAATTTGAAAAATTTGTACTGGATATCTTTCATTTTCAGAAGTTATACATTTACTATTATCGTCTAATTTAATTTTTTTTCGAACAGGACTTTTAAAATTTTCGTTATTCTTATCTTTAAAACGCTGAGAATTTATTGTATTAAGAATGGGATTATTCAACACAGAGCTTTGTGTACTTTTAGGCTGTAATTCTTTTCCTAAATCCAAAGTATTATCAACTATCTTTCCCAGCTTAAAGTTTTCTTGTTCTGGAAATTGACTTGTATTATTGTTGCCAGTTGAAATCTGATTACATTGTTTTCTT